CAGTTAGTGAGAATCAATGGTAAACACATTTGGCGCACAAAAAAATGTGCACATTAAAGTGTACACTGCATGCGGCATAACACTGTATATATTTGAATGCACTATTTTCTTATACCCTGCGCTTAATCAGTGCACTGATACGTTTTTTTAAAAACTTCACTGGTCTCCGACACACTGGTTTCATCTCATGAGGTCGACCACTGATCTTAAACCTCGCCCTCTTGTCCCGGTCTTGAGGTTTAGGTTTACCAATAAATTGTGGTCCGTATACCTTACGCTCATACAAGTCACCCATTTTGTCACTCCGGGTCGCTCTTGGGATCAATTCAAAGTAGTCATCACTGACTGTATGTGCAGTCAAATGGTGTGAATGCGTCAATGGATGCACTGATTGTGTGACTGATGGCACAAATGGACACAATGTGTGGTCAACAGTATGAGTGATGTGTGGCACAGGTATGGCACCAATGAACTGATCACTCAATTGCCCACAAGTATACTGTTACTGCTATGGCAAACCAATTGTACAATTGTACCAGGTTGCATAAACTTTATTTCATATTAAATGCCACTATAATATTGAATGACGAAATAAATGGCACACAAATACTGTCTATTAATTGATGTAAACGTCTATCACTTGAAGTGTTGTCGGGTTTTCATACATTCACATCAATGCCAACGTATGCTATGAACTGCCCTCTCATGGCATTCATACACTTAACATTCAATTAGTTTTCCAAGTGTTTGACAATTGAATTGCCTTGGTCATTAATAGGTTTTTACTATTGAAATATATAGCAAGTTAATAGACAATAATTTAAGCTTTGATAAAGTAATTGTTAATAGATTTTGTTCATTGGATACCTTAATAATAAAATATAATTCATTTACTTTTAATATTTTATATTATGTTAGTTCTCATTTTGATCATGTTAACTATTTTAAAGTGAGTTTATCAAATAATTTAATATCATAGATAACTAATGTACATTAGTGTATTACATTAGTGTATTTGTATTAATTAATAAATAATATATACAAGTTATTATATAACATTAAATTAATATAGTTTAATGACTTGTGTTGAACAGATTTATACAAATGTTTAATTGATTGAATCGTTTGAGTATAGCTATACTCAAGCACAATCTACTTCTAACATTATTTTTTCCAAAAATGAGTTCAAAGTTATTGAATAATAAACACTTTACAAAATGTATTGTAATTATATTATTAATATTATACTCCAATTCATTGGTTTCATGTAATGATTGCAATGTAATGGTTGAGTCAAACAATGGTATATATCGCGGATGCAATCAAAGTGTCACAACAGCCAGTCTTACGGCTCCAGAGTTTAAGTTTAAGACTATTTTCGCTTTTAAGGTATTTATTGTTAGATTGGAAGTTATAATACCCTGATACAATAACTATGATAAGTAAATGGAAACATTAGGGCATCCCTTATGCGGAACCCCCGGTCGCCAATTTGAGATTCCGAAAGCCATTGTCATTAACATACAGCCAATTGACAGAAGTGAATGCCACTAATTATGGGAAAGCCTGCAAACAGCCCCCTCTGGCCAGCAGAGAGACATACAATTACTGGCAATCATCCGAAGATTGTCTGTTCCTTAATATCTTCACCCCATCTGTGGACCCAACGGCCAACCTATCGGTTATGGTCTACATTCACGGGGGAGGCCTACTGTTTGATAGCGCTCGACAAGTGCCCAGTGAACAGCTGAGTCTCCGTGACGTTGTTGTCGTTACTTTGAACTATCGTTTGGGTGTTTTCGGCTTTTTGTGTACTGATAGGGAGGACGCGCCCGGGAATGTGGGGCTCTGGGATCAGGCAATGGCTTTGAATTGGACTCAAAATAATATAAGAAATTTCGGAGGAAATCCTCACGACGTGACCCTCTTTGGTCAAAGTGCTGGCTCTGTCTCTGTTAGCAGTCATATAGTGTCTCATGTGAGCCGACCCTACTTCAAGAAAGCTATATTGCAGTCGGGTTTGTATATTCTTGATTAGTAGAATAAGTTCTGTTACCTACCTGTCCCCTAATAGTGTCATTAAAATATTATTAACACATCGGGATCACAGTTGCATTCAAATAATAGTTAAAAATTAATGTTTGAAATTAGGGTCGAGTTTAACAAATGTTTGGCTCCGAAGCAAAGAATACTCGACACGAGTGGCCAAACGATTGGCAAATTTCATTGGATGTGATCGCGATTATATTGAATGTCTTCGGAACAAGACTTCCGATGAGTTATTGACGGCACAGTCGACGGCATTCCTCTGGAATCAGAACACACCGGACGCCCAGCCCTGGTATTCAGCGCTTATATTAGAGTTCGTTCAGTGCTTTGGCGATCAGTTTTTGCCAAAAAATACATACGAATTGCTGGAATCAGGCAATTATAATAAGGATATCCGGATCCTTTTAGGTCACACGACCCTCGAATCGGCACATTTCACACATATCTTTGATATCATGAAAGGACGGTTTGGCGCAAATAGCCCTCAAATACCTGACGCTGTCGTCAACATTAAGACCGCCAGATATGACATACAGAAAGTTATGGTTAATAACGACTCGTTTGATAGCGTTATAGCCGACGAATACACGAAATCATTCAATAATGCACTTCTTGTGTCCCCTTTTGGCTTCTTTGAGAGACAACGGCTGAGAGCGGCGGTCGTCCACTCGTACAGCGACTACTCGTTTGTCTGCCCGACTGTCCTCTTCGGCAAGAATATAGTGAGTCACCCATCGTTTGAGGGGTACGTCTATCAGTACTACTTGACGTACGCCAACAGTAAGTCCACGTGTAAGGGCAGCACGTGGTGTACTAACACACACTTCGATGACATACCACTCGTCTTTGGACAACCCTTTTATAAGAGAGGCTTCTCTCGAAACGACAAGAATATGAGTACTATTCTGATGGATATATTCACTGATTTCGCCAAAACAAAGTGAGTGTCATTTCATGTTGAACTCTATTATGAAATTCTAAACCCAGAATATTCTATAGCAATGCACCGGTAGTTAATGGAAAAGAATGGCCGCCTTATAGTGTAGTGAACACAACCGCAGACACGAGAGAAGTGAGTCTTAATTATATGGAACTGAATCTCAAGAATTTGGGCCAAACCTTCTTCGACATGTATAAAGGAAACAATGGATTCACTCCCGATATCATACAAAACTGTCATTTCTGGGAACCTATATTGCGATCACTTTTCTAAATTCATAAACAAGTGCTCATAAACACTGATTAGCATTGATTAGCATATCTGCAAACTTTTTATATATTTTTTCTCAATTAATGTTTTAATGAAATTGCATTTTAATAAAATATTATTATTTTATAATTTCTATTAAATATTCTGGGTGTAATTTAAAATTCGTGTCATTATGTAATTCTATATATTATTAGCCAATAATGTGTTAACTAAATGTTATTTTAAGCATAGAGTTAACCGATTGTGTGAATGAATGTGTGATTCAGTCCTTTCTGTGATTACATTAGAATACGATTCCCTGGTATGTATTACTGTGTAAAAGTACCAAAACTTCACTGAAAAACGTTTGGATTTATTGAAAGGACACAAAACCCCACCTCTTGTGACCAAACAATCGGTTGAATCGTCGGATCAATCAGTGGTGACAGTGATGTCTGGGTGGCGCTCATTGGGTATCACGTATTTGCGGTTCTCTAGCATTGCGGCCAAACAGGTGCGTCAGGCCGTCCGCCATGACCTCCGACCGGATCAGTTGAGAGAGACCTCAACCATCAAACAGATCAAGTCTGAAGTCAAGTCCCACTGATGTGTGCTTTTGTCGACACTTGCAGTCATTTGTAGTGATTATTGGCTTTTAGTTATTATTATATTCACTAACTTTTGGGTAAATATTTGTTTTCATCATTTAATTCAATATTCATTTAATGCTATATTTCTCTCTTTCCGTCTCTTGTGTACCACTTCTGGTCTCCGAAGATGTCTTTGTGGATGTCTTTCTAGTCAACACTTAGTCTCTATTCAAACCAATTGTTTAATTAGAGTTCAAATTATACTCATATTTAGAGATTATATTATAATTGAATGCAAACTATAATTATGTTTTAATAAAGTTTTCTTTTAAACAATATTCAAAACTGTATTAACTGTTAATGAGTGATCAAAATGTGTTATTCAATTTAATTTAAACATATTTGGATAATATAGTAATAAAGTTATTGACATCACTAGTCATACACTATAAAGTCTGTAGTATATGAATATATGAATACACAAATCAATTAACTTTCAATATGATTAGCATATCATTCATAAGTTATGAATCATAACTTAAAGCACTTTCTCATAATATCTACGGTTTACCATTAAATAGGCTATGAGTGCCTAAAACCTCGTGTTAAAACTGGGAAAATGAGCTCCTACCTTTAATTATAAATTATAATTATAAAACAAATAGAAATACGGTATGACTTTTTTATATTAAGCCTTTGATTGCCAACAAATTTATTTTGAATTAATGCTCTAATTATGAGAACTCGTAAACAATAAATAATTTTGTTTAGGAATCTTATAAACAAATAATTTTAAATAAAATACTCTTCACTCCCACTTAGAAATTAAGAGTTAAACGCAAAGACTTGTTAAACATTTCTCAAATATTCTCGCATTTGATACTAATTTAAGAAACAAATGATTGCATCAGTCATTGGAAATGCGAATGAAAAATATTTTTATTAAAAATATAATTTTTACATAAAAACAAATTAAAGTGTAATTTAAGAGTTACTAAAATAAGTTGAGATAAATATTCAAAACAAAGAGTAATTATTTATAAATTTTTCTGAAATGAACTTTAAATGTATTTCACGCTATAATAAATATGGTCTCTAAATGTGTCTAGGTGTCTTTCAATGAATTTGTTAAAAATATGATCTGGTTTACTGTTATAGATTTACAGTATGATTACTTTACATGATTTTTATCACATAAATTGATCATGACAAATATACAGTATTTGTAAGAATTTTAATTATTAGGAATAATTGTTTGCATCAGAAATACTGTATTAACAAAAGTATAAGAATTTGTGGGTAAATGTAAAAACAGACAAATAATGAGTACTCTATTTGACAACAAAATAGTTTTGTAATCGCAATGAAAGAATAAAAATGCATTTTAAAAATAGTTTTCAAAATCTCTAATGTTTTCAACCCCTATCTCTCCATAAGAATTGATTTAACATACAGTAAGTGATATAAAAAAGAAAAATAAGTTTTCTTTGATTTAGGATCCCTTTGACATGACTTTCTTTCTCTACTTGACTGCCACTAAAAACACATATCAGTTATAATGTATTTAAAGCCTCGCACTCAAGAACTTCTTGGGGTGATGTCTGCGCACAAACCATTACCACCCGATTGTGTCACACATTCCTCACATACTATTGACTGACTTCTCAAATATTGCAAACTCTGGATCTGTTTATTACTATTAGCGCTATTACTGTATATACAGTATATTTCATAAGATTTTCACTAGTTTTATGTTTGTTATACACTTTATTTTTTACTGTTTTAGTGTTTTAGACAAATTATAATTGTTAACTAAACTTGTTTTATAGTATCATAACTAACATTAATATTAAGTTTTGTATTTTAAAAATATTTTATGATAATACAGTAAAGTGGAAAACATTGTCATAGAAATGTCATATAATAAGAATTAATCTGAAATTTAGTGAAAATTATCTTATATTATATCATTGAATATAATTGTTTAACTAATCTGTAAGATTGAAATGATTACAACTGTATTACCAATTGTAATGGAAATTGATTTGTTTTGCAGACATATTGATGGTAGTGATGGCCGAAGACGCTGATCATAGCGCAGTATTCGATGAAATCCGAAACTTTTCTCAAAGAAAGCTCAAGAAAGTCGAGACTAAAGTGACCTCCGGTTCCGGTGAAGTGATAACCGAGAAAAGGGGGGCTAAAGGGGTGCAGACAATCAGACACGAAGGCATCAAAGGGGCCGGTTATGTGGTCGACAATAAGCCTGATCTTCAGGTCGGACTCATTATTCCCGGACTTATGATATGTAAGTATTTTTTGTTATTTACTTATTAATATGATTTATTGTATTATTTAAAATGTTTGTTAAATTGAAGTTCATTTTAAAAATCAAAATACACCACAAATTTATTTTTAACAAACTTTTTAAAAAGTGTTTAAAAATTGATTTGTTGTAATGATTTGAGTGTGTATTCAATGCCAAGAATTGGCCAAATCTATCATCAATTTTCAAAACTTTAGTGAATATTTGAACGTCAAATGATTCAAACGACG